AAAAACTGGAAGATTTCTGGGTGTGGTGGCACACACCTGTAATTCCAGCACTTGGGAGGCTGAGGCAAGAGGATCATGGGGCATTCAAGACCATAGGCTACATAGTGAGATCCTGTCTCAGAAAAGTAAAAAATTAGAATTGATGACATCAATTTAATAATATTTTTATTTACTGAAGTAAAATGTCATGTTAATATTTAATCAGTATGAAAATTATTAATGAATATTTTGTATTTTTAATACCAAGTCTTAAAAATTTATTATATATTTATAGCATATCTCAATTTGTGTTAGCACATTTTAAATTTCTAGAAGCATTTTGTTTATAATGGTCACTATACTGGATGGTAGAAATATGAATTGAACATTCTTAATCTGAAAATTAAACTCCAGAATGCTCTAGTATCTGAAACTTTCACAGTATAAATGTGGTGCTTTAAGTGAAAAATTCCACACCTGCCCTCATGTGAGTGGTCAACATTACCTTAAGGCTGTGTGTTTAAAGTAGGTGTGAAGCACTGGTGAATTTTCTGCTAAAACTTCAGTCCATTTCCCAAGAGAGCTAGTTATATATATACAAAATTTCTGAAACAGATCCAAAATAGTTCAGATTCCAAGTATTTCAGATAAAAAATAAGTCACCCTGTAATATAGTTAACTAAGGAAGTTAAACTTTATTGTAAACCATTAAGTAACAAATTAAGAATATGTATAAACAACCTTAATAATTTTCTCAAACCAAAATGTAACATATCTTTAATCTCCTGCTGCGTGTAGGTTCAGTAAGTGAACCTTCTAATTTTCAGATGCTTCAGATTCTTCAAACCTGAGGAAGAGCCTAGAGATAGCAGAGAATAGGAGTCTCAGAGATTATATAGTATACTAATTTCTCTAGCATTATAGAATAGTATGACTACCTCATAGTTTATCATAAAGAGTGGAAATCTGGAACATTTGAAAAAGAAAATAAAGTTTAAATTATAAAGTACATATCTGGGAACTCGGGCTATGCCAATACAATCACTGTCCCCGTTTGAGGCACCAAGGAACACTTGGCAGGTGCTTCAGTACATCTTTCTGTCTTGCTGCACAGACTCGATAGTGAAAGTATGTGAAGTTTGTTGTATTTCATCTTTCTTTAAAGACGAACAGTTTACTAACCAGCATCTTATTGGCTGACACATTCAAGAAGCTAGTGATCACTTCTTCTCATTGTTCAAGCATTGAACAGACTAAAGGTTTTTCTTTTCTTTCAAGCCAGACAGAATGCACCATCAAGTATTGTATTATGACCAGTTTTGTCAGTAGAAATCTGTGTCAGATTGTTAATTTTGTAGGTTTGAAAAAAATACATTATTTCCATGGGGAAGAGGACAGTTAAAAAAAAATACTTTAAAGTCTCTCGTGTTTGTGCTGTGGCTGAGACCGTACTATTAATATTTTACAGAGAATTTTTTTTTGGTCTCTTTTGAGTTTATGGATTGAACCCAAAACCTAATCAAGTGGTCTATCATTAAGCTACATCCTCAGGCCCTGCTTTAGAATGACAGCAGAAGATTCTATATTCTCCCTTTTTAAAAAGGTTTCTTTGAGGATTTCATGATTATCAAAAGTCTTAGAAGAAATTTTTCATATTTCTGTCCCACTTGTTCTATTTTTGCCAGGAAGAAATGCATAGGACTTTTAAATAAAAATTGAAAAGCTTGATGACTTGTAATTGATACATATTTTGTTCTTTTCTGCTTTCTTTTGCTTGTTAGCATGATCTGAATATATTGCCCAGGTACTTTTCTCTTTTCACAGGAATTGATTAACCAATGACTAGAGAATTTAGTATCCAAGCAATTTCATTCTTAACTATTTCTAGACCTTCTTTGTATCTTTATGAGCTTACTTATAGTACATGTTCTCTAATATTTTCAACTTCCTTTTCATTATCAGAACAATATTTATATTTTAACAGTGAAAATACTACTACAAACAGAACAATAACCAGCTCTCTCATTCTTGTCTAGGTCTGATTCCTGTTTGTATGAGATAGGCACTTTCACCTCTTCTGGTGTTTTGTGGGTTTTTTTCCTAACTTTTCAAACAACATTCTTACATTTTTCTCTTTTGACTTCTTATCATGGATAGTATCAAATTGGCATTTTTGTACACATTACCATACATACCACCTCCTTTGTGTCCTTCTAGTATGTTTTCTCATAGTTGATACTATTGTGTCTGAGGCACATAATGTGTTGTGATTGTTATTTTAAGTTTTCTTGGTGTACTCTAGTTTTTTTATTTTCAGTTTTCCCGGTGGGTTTTTTTTTTTTTTTTTTTTGTCTGAGAAAGATGATACATTTGTTATTTTCATTATCTTGTTAATACCCTGTATACATCATGCAGTAGTCAAGTCAGGGTAACTGGTATCCATCAATGCAAACTTTTATAATTTTGTTGTCTTAGACACATTCAAAATCTCCTTTACTAACCATTTTGCAATACCTGTCAAGTGTAGTTACCCTACAGTGCTGGAGAACATTATTATTTCTCCTATCTACCTGTTCCCATAAACCATCCTCTTTTAAGTGCCTCTTTCCTCAACCTTTCCAGTATCTCATAATCATTCTGTTTTCTAATTCTGTTAGATGAACTGGTTAGGTTCCACATAGGAATGAGTAGAAATGAAAAGATGTGGTATTAGTCTTTCCTTACCTGGCTTATTTCACTCAACCTCATGTCCTCTAGGTTCGTCTATGTTGCAAATGACAGTAGTGTTCTATTTGTATGTATGTATGATCCGTTTTCTTTATGACTCACAATAGTCTGACTCTGTGTGTGTGTGTGTGTGTGTGTGTGTGTGTGTTTGTGTGTGTGTGTCTATGTATCCCTTTTTCTCTATCCATTCATAGATAGACCCTAAGATAATTCTATATCTTGGCTCTTGCCATGGTAGTATAATAAAGGGAATAGTGTAGATGTTTCTTCCACATACTGATTTCCTTTGCTTTGGATCTGTATCCAAGTAGTCATGTAACTACTTTTCTGTTTGGGCTCTTCTCCTAAGAACAGTAAACAATGAAATCTATGGGCATTAGTGGAGAGTTAGCCAAGTGTAGTTTATTTGAACAAAGTAAAGCTCCCTCTAGCCAAGAGGGGCTCCAACAAATATGGAGGAGGTACCAGAGTTGAGGAGTTCACACATGGCCTTCATGGACTAGTACATGAAAATGGGTCAGTAAAGCAATGCGGTCATTGCTTTTAGCCAGGCTTCTGACTCAGGAGAAGCAGCTTCCCCAGCTTCCCTTGCTCCTCAGCTTCCAACAGCATACTGTATTTCAGTGAGCCTCTTTCTGTTGTATTCTAGTTTTCCAAGGGCTTATTTTGGTTTACGTGTGTCTCTATCCTAGCTGTGTATTATTTGTGTATCTCCAGGTTTCCATAGGATAGCAGAATCATATGTTGTTTTGTGTTTAATTTGTTGATCAACTTCCACAGTGTTTTCCATAATGACCAAACTAATTTATATTCCCTACAAATAATTTCTTGAGAGATCCCCTTTCTCTACATCCTCATGAACATTCGTTATATTTTGTCTTTGTTGGTAATAGCCAGTCTTTATTAGAGTCAAATGATATCTTATTGTGGTTTTATTTCAATTAATCTTATGATTAATGAGAGTACTTTTTCATATACATGTTGTTCATTTATATGTTTTCTTTTAAGAAATGTCTATATAGGGATTTTGCCTATTTTAATATTCAGTTATTTGTTTTCTTGATACTGAGTTGATTTCTTTATGTATTTTTAGATATTAACCCTTCACTAGACGTACAGATTGCAAACATTTTCCCATATTCTTTAGATTTTTCTCTTCATTCTTGTAATTGTTTGCTCTGCCTACAGAAAGGTTTTATTGGGTATCGACCTGTTCATCTGTTTTTGCATTTGTTGCCTGTACTTTCGAGTTTTATCTAGATCTTTTGCTTAGTACAATGTTCTGAATCTTTCCCTTTTTGCTTTCTTCTAGTATTTCATCGTTTTGAGCCTTACATTTAATTTTCTAATACATTTCAAATTGATTACTGATAGAGAGGAGTACCTATTTTCACTCTTCTGCATGTAAATATCCATGTAAGCCTTGTTCTTTTATTTCATGTTTCATAAAAGGTAATACTTGATCCTCATTCCTCAGATCTACAAGAATTTAAAGAGGAAGTGCTTATAATAACCTGATGAATCTTGTTCACCATTAAACATGAATTCTTATTTTTATTTTACAATTTCAACTACAATACATGATTTTAAAGTTTTTTAGAGTTTTGTTTTTCTGATAGCTCTCACCTCAAGAAGTTACATTTTAAATTTATATACCACATCAAAATTAACAAAAATTGCTAGACTAAACTACTCATTCTCCGCCAGACCAATCTCTTATATTCAGTTATTATAGCTGTCTTGGCCAATATTGAGAAAACTTTACTGTCATGAAATGTTAAGAAACGTCCTCTTCTTTTTGTTTCTTTTTAAATTAGCTAACAGTTGTCCATGTGAAGAATACATTCTACAAGATCATGCTATTTACTTGACTTTTTTTCTAGGTATAATATTCCAAAGAAAAGCAATGTTTTGGTATTCAATCTAAGTAGTTTCATCAAAGCTGGCTTTCAGCTCAGTTTAGAGAGTAGTTCTGCAACACTTTTGTGTTTTTAAATAACTAAGCCTTTGTTGTCTATGCTAACATAAGTACTTGCATTCTCTCTGTTGCAGAGAGCCAGTTCTGTCTTGCTTAACTAACTCATTTCATTGCTCTTAATAAACTTATTCAACCTTGTCTAGTTCTTTGCTTCCTTTACTTTACTCTTTTCTTTGTGAAGATAACTTTCTGACCTCTCTTACTTCCAAAAGGAAGAACTTACATAAGCAAACAACCTTTTCTTTGCTAAGCCTAACTAGGCTCATCTTGGGTTAACTGGTTAATCTACTTCACCTAGTCTTCCATCATTTTCCAGGACAGTCTCCGTAAGAAGGATGACAGGATTGAAGAACTGGAAGAAGCATTGAGAGAAAGTGTACAGATAACTGCAGAGAGAGAAATGGTGCTGGCACAAGAGGAATCAGCCAGGACCAATGCTGAAAAACAGGTCTGCAATTTTATACAGTTTCTAGCAGTGCTGCTAGTTAAACACAGGTAAAAATCAACCAATAGAATTTAGGTTAACTGTTCTATACTTACAGGGTTTCAGAAACACTTAACTGTAAGTATTTGGACTTAAATATAATTGAGATAATAGCTGTACAAGAAGTTACGTTAGCACAGAGGTCTCTACATTAATCATTTAAAGCTGATTTCATTTATAAGTCAATATATCTCACAAGATGAAATAGAACTTGTCTGTTTGCTGCAAGCTGTGTCGAACTCAATGATGTTAATTTTAAAACGCAAATATTTTATTTTATAATCTGTCATGTTCAAAAGGACAATTTACGGTTATAACAAGCTAAATATTAATAATAAATATGAAGGATATAGATATTGTGGCATTCTAATCCCAAATCAACATATCGCAGCCTGGAAGTTACAAAGAATTCTACTGGTCCTATTTCTAGAGTTTGAAATGTATACTTTCCCATTTCCTGTACCCTTGCTATTGACTTTTTTTTATTAGAAAGAACTTTTTTTATTAGAAAGATAGGCTGTATAAATGGAAAAACCAATTTTAACAAGTGACAACTATATTCTCCGTTCACATTCTGAAAATGTGATTTGAGATTTTTGAATTTACCTCACACAAAGGTTTACAACATTTTATTTTTGTAGTAATTATTTCTTTCCTATTTCCTTTTGGGAGAATAATAAATACTACACAGTAAAAATAAAGGAATCCAATGAGGGATTACACGAATTTGTTGGAGAACCACATTGATCCAGTGACTGGTGTTACTATGAATTAAAGTAGTTGGATTTTAAAGAAGGTTCCAGGTCACGGCAGACATACATTAATACATACCCCAGTGAGACCGTTCATGATCACGTTAACCAAAATGATACATAGTCTTTTAGGGCAAAGTGGGAATTATATACTGGGAACTGGACTTGCACTGAACTACACACCTATCACATTGCATATATTTTGATCAAACCTGTCCACTATTGCCCATCATTATATCTCATCCTTCTGCCATCTTGCACATAGTCTTTGTGGTAGAGTGACCCCAGAGACCTTGAAGTGTAGTGGTTTTGTGACAACTGATTCCATTGTAGCTCAGTCTTAAACAGTAAGTCCTTCACCAAAATGGCTTCAAATTGTGTCACTCCCAAGAATGGCAGATGTTGGTACAAATTTCTTTTCCATCTCTGTCCTGCCATAGAGAGTCACTTTGAGGTAGAACTCCATTCTGTACTTTCAGCTAATAGTAACTGTAGACTTTGCTGAAGGTTTGTGGACCAGTTTGTTGTTTCTTCCTGGAGAGCATGAACACTTTATACGTACCTTATGTTTAAAAGACATGACCTCTCTGGGAACTGGAGTTAACATTCTAAACTGCTTTTATCTTTTTCTCTGCATTGTTTTCAGTTTCTCCAGTTTTGCTGTCTCTTATGATTTTTTTTCATTCCCAGATCTCTATTTGAGATCTATTTGAGATCTCTCTTTGCTAAGTTGTTTTCCGGGAGTCTTGATTCTCAGTTTCAGAGAGGCTCTTCAGGTAGTCTTGATTTCCATTTCCTTAAATTGCTGAAGATATTGAACATTTTTTCAAATACTTTTTGACCATTTGTACTTCTTTTGAGAAATGGCTAATTTATCTACAGTACATATGTGTGTGTAAAATTTTTTAACAATTTATTGATTAGACTGCTTTTTTGTTTTTTGGTATTAAAATTTGAATACTTTATATTTTTCTGGATGTTAATCTAAATTAGCTTAATCAAAAGAGTAAGTGACTCAGATTTTCTGCCATTCTTTTTTTTTTTTTTTTTTTTTGGTATCAGGGTTCAAACACAACCTCGCACTTGCCAGGCAAGTGCTTATGCCTCTGAGCTAAATCCCTGGCCCTTGTTCTGCCATTCTTTGGGCTCTCTCTTCACTGTTTTCCTTGCTGTGCAGAAATGTAATTTGATATTGTCCTGTTTATTGAGTCTCGCTATTATTTCCTATTGAAGTTCTATTCAGAAAATCTTTGCTTGTACCTCTGACTTCAAGTGTTTCTGCTATATTTTCTTCCAGCAGTTTCAGAGTTTCAGATCTTATACGTAAGTCTTTGATCCATCTTAAGTTGACTTGCACAAGTGAGAGATAGAAAGTGATTTCAGTCTTCTACAAATAGATAACCATTTTTTCCAGCATCATTTGTTATAGAATTGTTTTTTCTCTAATACATACTTTTATTCTTTGTCCAGAAACAGGTGGCTGTGGTTTTGTTGGGTTTTCTCTGTACCCTATGTTGTGTTCCATCAGATTACATGTGGATGTTTTTGTGCCAGTATTATGCTATTTTTGTTATATGGCTTTGTAGTGTAATTTGAAATTGGGTATTGTGATGCCCCTCAGTGTGACTTTTCTGTTAGCATTACTTTGGTTAGTGTTTTTTAATATTGTGAATAATGCCGTTGGTGTTTTGATGGGAATTGCACTGAATCCATAGTTCACTTTTGGTAATATGGCCATTTACATAATTTTAATTCTGTTGATCAGTGAACCTAGGAGATCTTTCCTTTTTCAATTTCTTTCAGCATTGATAATTTACCTTCGTGGTTATACTGATCCTTTAGTATTTTTTAAAAATTTCCTTAGTATTTTTTTAAGTTACTGTGAATGGAATCATTTTCCTGATCTCTTTCTTTGTTATTCTATTATTCAGGTATAGAAAAGCTATTCTGTTTTTAATGTTGATTTTATATGCTGCTACTTTGCTGAATTCAGTTGTCAGCTCTAAGGGTCTTTTGTTGACATCTTTAGGGTCTTATAAGTATAGAATCTCATCATTTGCAAAGAGGGATAATTTGAATTTTTCCTTTTCTGTCTGTATTCCTTTATCTTGCTTAATTGCTCTAGCTAACTTTTTTTTTTGATACTAGGTACTGAATTTATGACCTTACGCTTGCCAGGCAGGTGATTATGCCCCTGAGCTATTATCCCTGGCCTCATCTACCTAAAATTTTAAGAACTATACTGAATAGGAGAGTTGAAAGTTGCCATTTCTTGTCTGTCTTATGATCTTGGAAATGCTTTCATTTTTATCTCCATTCTGATTGTTAGCTGTGAGTTTTTCATATATGACTTTTATTAATTGAGAAATGATCCTTCAATATTTAGTTTATCTGGGGCTTTTATCATTAAGAGTTAATTGAATTTTGGTGAAGGCTTTTTCAAGGTTAAATTGAAATGACCACGTGATTTCTATCCTGGTTTCTTTTATGTAGTATGTTATGTTAATTGATTTGCATATGTTTTTTATAAAGAATATTTATAACAGTTTTATTTTAGTAAACCCAAACTAGACATTATAAACAATAAATGGTTATTAACTGAAGACTGAAAGAACAAACTATGGTACATAAGTAGAATGGAGTATTACTCATCAGTAAAAATAAATGAACTACTGATCATGCAGTAATGTGGGTGAATCTTAAAATCATTGTTTTAGATAAAAAAAACCAGTCATAAAGGATACAAGCTCTATGCACCCATTTACCAGACATTCTGAAGAGTAAGACTCCTGAAAATTAACCAGATTATTGGTTGCCATACTTTAAAAATGGGCCTACAAGATAGATTGCGAAGGGCCATTAGAGATGTTTTGAGATAATTAAAATATTCTATAACTGGATTTTGATGGTGATTCCCTGATTACATGTATTTGTCAAAAATGACTGAATTGTACAAGAAGAAAGAATGTATTTTACTCCATGTTTATCTTTGGGTGTTGTACAACTTATTTATATACATGGAAGACAATTGTCAGATACTTTGGTATAATTTTTAATACCACAATAAGCCTGATAAATGAAATAAATGTTGCGTTCATTTGTTCTAATGTTATTGTAAGTATGCCCTTGAGTTTCTCGAGTAGTTTTCTGATGAACAGTTAAGGCACTGTTTGACTCGTATCATCATGTATTGCTATACAGTCACTTAAAAGATTTGTGTGGATTTAGGGGAGAGGTTACAGATGTTAAAAACAGCAAGAGGAAGTGCCATTATCCTCATGTCCCGAAGCAAGGGAGATACTGTGTGTTTACCTTTCCCCAGCGCCAAACTAGTTCGGTCCCAGGGAAGGGTCATTTCAGTCATGTCTATAAGTTTTCTCCACAGTAGAATGGAGTAAGTAGCTGGTCATAAGTGTGAGTTGTTAGAGAATATGTCTATATACTGTGATAAATTTTCCACTTTGCAAATACCTCCCAAGGGTACAGAATTCTTCTGATCTAATTTTTAGCTTATTGTGTTTCCAGAGAAACACAATAGACCCAAGGAAGAGTTAATCATCTTTTTCTCAAAAATAATCAGTTTGATTTACAATTACTTATTGAATCTTTATGATGTTCCAGACAATGAGGAGTAAAGAAGTGGGACACAAAGAATGAAAGACTCGGTCTCTTAACCTTAAGAAGCTCATAGTAATTAATATACTCAAAAGAAAATTGTCAAAAGACAAAAAAAAAAAAAGAAAGAAAATTGTCAGAAACTCTTGTACTCTCTGTGGATGTGATTTTCATGTGACAATTTTGTGTTTTGCTTCTATTCTTTTATCTTCTCTTGTCTATACAAATTTTATATATATATATATATATCAGTAAGCCTAACAAAATAAATACTAAGACAGTGTGGCAACATAGGCCACTCACGTTTTGACCTAATTTTGTCTGTTTCTTAACTTTTTTGAATTTTCCTTCTACTTTTAAAGTAAAATCTTTACCAATGATTTATAGAGATCAGAGTATGTCAGTATTCCTCAGGAGAAAGCCACATCCTATGCCTTCATATTTCTGTTGAGGGAAAATAATTTTCTAATCCATTCCCAACAGCTGGAAGTATTGACCTGCACCCTTTTCCCAAGCTTTTGTCTTTTTCGGGAGGTGGTGATGGTGGTGAATGGAAACAGTAACTGCTTTGGGAAACTTGGTAAGGCTCTGCTATCT